CCTTGCATACATTTTATGGCAAATGCACCATGCAGTGTATTAACCTTGATCCTTCCCAGCATCTGCAATATGCCAGGAATGGAGTCGGGTGCCAAGGAAAACTCCTGTGCGCATGCGCAGGAGTTATGTAGCCACAGGCAGCTCAATGATCCATCAGAACCCAGAAGAAGCAGTGGAAGAGATGGTGACAGCGGTGGACGGAGTAACTACTGACGGCCTAGATTGGTCAGCACTTGAGCACAGCACACTTGTCAGGTAAATAGAAGTTCATCTCTTATTGATGACTATGGGGTAACTCATATGTTCCTTTTTTTTTCTTTCAGGGCTGCAATGAAAAGTGTTCATGAAATGTCCTTCCTACTGCACTTTATGGAGAAATGTGTATTCTACCCCTTTAAAGTGTATGTGAACCCTAATAAAGAACTTGTTTTATTAGCTCCCTTTTGGTCTGTTAAATACATAATTGAAAGCGTTTTATATCCGTTCAATAAGTGCAAAATAATACCTGTCAGAAATTCAGAGTCTTCCTGTGTCCAGTGCTTTCTCCAGGACATTAATTAGCCGTCCCAGTCCTTACCTTGGGAATATAGAATGATTAGCCTTTTGGCTGTGGAGATGGGAGAGTACATGAGTTTGAGTAGCTTGGCAAGAGAGTTTGGACAGGGCTGACAATATGTGCACAAAAATGCTGTGTGTTGTCAGCCAACAACAGGAATTGGTGGCAGATCAACAGCTATTAACCTGTACTTGTAGGGACTTTACATAGATAAAACGTGAAAATGCGTGTTTTATTTGCTCTGACAATCACTTTAAGGCTCCTTTCAGATGGGGCGATCTGGAATTCCTGCAGCTAGAACTTATGATTCCTGCGGCAGGAATGCCAGGTGTCCCGATTCAGGTGCGGCTGCTGTACCCAGTGCAGTAACTGACAGGGGCCGCATCTTTCATGGGCTGTCCACATGTAGTCACATTTGGTTTGGGATAGATGATTGGCCCTGGACACATCTATCCTGCATCCACCGACAATCATCTATTCCAAACCACATGTAATCATACCATGTACGAGCACATGCCGACTGCAGCTGAGAGATGTGGCCATTGTCACCCTCTCATTTACTTCTATGGGTACAGCGGTTGCTTCTCAATTGGACGCCTCGGAATCCCAGAATGCCCTGTCAATGGGGCATAAGACATTTAAAGTAAGGCAACCCAATGGTTATAAAATCAGCACCGAAAGTGTATTATATGTTTTATCTTGATACTAGGAGTAGAGAAGCATCCACGGTGGTGAAATAGCCCCGGCCTACCAACCAGAATTCACTTATTTGTTTTGCAAAAGTCTTTTTGGGGGGAAAAAAAAGGCTCCAGAAACCATTAAATATTATGAAAAAGATTTATTGTACACTTTATTTATAAATCCTGAAACTCCAGGAACACATTATTATCACTTCGGTACGAAGAGTACACTTTCCAACGGCCAACACTAACAAAACTGACCATTGGTTCAAGTTTTTTTTTTTTTCTTTTTAGCTTAAATGCATGACCCATAACTATACAGAACTATCCAAAAAAAAATATTCATGTTAAAATGATCTTAGAAAATGTACTGCCCTTCAGAAGCAACAAAAGTGGAGAGTTGTTGCCCAGGAAACGGCAAAGAAAATAAAAAATCTGAGAAAACGGCTGATTTACGATAAGGGATGGAGACTTCACTCATATTGGAGAATTGAAGTGAATATTCCTACAATCAATGGAAACATTTAATTTTTTTATCTGCACAAGATTGGGTGTTCAAAGTGAACAAGGATCTGCTTTTCCATGACTGGGTAACTGCAGCGAGCATTCGCACAATTTATTGAGAGAAGATTCTCAACTCTTTTAGTAAATCAACCTCTATATCTCAGCAGTTGCTATATGCGAAAACTCCACTTATAAATTTAGTTTTTCATAAATTAATCCAAATGAGGCAGATTTATCAAAAAGGGAGCAAAACAAAAAATGAAGGGAAAACAAAGAAAAAAGGGAAAAAGTAAAAAAGGTGGTTTCCCCATGCCAACCAGATTTCTGAATTCCTCTGACGGAGGTGAAACTAGTCTGGTTGCTAAATGCAAAAGCTCCCAACTGTGCACAAGTCTTGACAAATAAGCCCCACTGAGTCTAAATCAGAACCACTTTTTAGCATAAAATAAGCCAGCTATGTACGGAAAAAAAAGACCATGAGTACAGCACCAATAGTTAGAAGTATAGGTCCCTCACATGTACAGGTCCCTCACATGTACATTGAGAAATAAATCCCCTCTTTTCACAGCCATGGATTCTATTGTCTGAATAAGCTTATGAGCTAGCAGAATAGGAAGTAATGTATACAGATCTTCTGCAGTAATAGCCCCAGCAATCTGCATTGATAAGTGCAAACACATTTAAATGCTGTCACTGGATGGATCTAGTTGCATTCCTATTAAAGAAATCTGGCACCAGGGATTGAACAGCCTGTGATCTGTGCAATACGTGAAATTACAGATTCTCAGACCAGGTCACCCTTGATGGAACTAACACGGCATTGCATAATATAATATCAGGAAAACAAAAATGGAACATAAAAAAAAAAAAAAAAAATTTAAAGAAAAAAAAAAAGGAAAAAAAAAAAAAAAAAAAAAAAAAGGGTGGTGGGAACTGGGACGGTTTTGTCAAACCCATCTTACTACCTTAGATAGCAAAGTATTTCATTATAAAAAGGAGTTGTTCTGCAGAGTTCTAACAAAAAGGATGTGTAATTCTTAATCTGCCATAGGCCTAGATGTCTAAAAGGATATTTATACATACTCCTTGTGATGATTTGCTGTAGTTCACCACTGTGTGGAGCATTTGCTGTGTTACTGATCATCCAGACACTGCATGAATTAATAAAACCAGACACGAGTCTTTATGGATGCAAGACAGTGTCATGAACCCAAAACCCCCATCGCTGTAGGAATTCTGTATTGTATTCCATCATGATTTACTAACAAAAAGAAAAAAGTTATCTAGAAAAGATTCAAATGAAATACTAAATTATTCTATTTGGCTGCAGCGCACAAAAATGTGCCGCAAACTTCACATTAGCTAGTAAAACAATAAAGGGTTTCCTAGGCTGTGCAACTGATGAGCAAGGATTGACCTTCAGGAAGTAAAGCCGGCAAGCTGTGCCAGGCAAAAAGAAATAATACGGCGAGCATGCATCGGTCTCCTCTCGCAAACTGTAAACAAGAAGCCGAGAACAATTACGTAATACCAAATAAGGAGAAAACATCAGGTGTTCATTTACATGCCCCCACCCAGAACCCTTTGGGATCATTCAATGTGATTGTGTAGTGATGCATGTACTCTGTGCATACTATGCAAAATCTGCATCAAACTTGGTTTCTTTTTCAATGTAAAAAAAAAGGGATTAGAAAACAGTGCATGCTCGTTGTTCAAACCGGAGGCCCTAAAGCTTAGAGCTGAGTGAACCACTTCAAGTATGAGAAAAAAGAAAGAAAAAAAAAGAAGGTGAACTAAACAGATACAGACTCTATGGCATGCCACTGGCTCGTTGGTGAATTGCACATAACAATCTAGTCTTGTTTGTAATTTGTAGATGACCCATGACCAGTTGTCCCTGAGGTTTCACAGCCTTGTCACCCGACACCCCCCAAAAAGCTGGAACAGAAGAGTGAATGGACAAGTGCGCACCATTTGGGTAGGGTGGTCCAAAACACATGGTTCATGACTTGAAGAAAACAGACCCCTTGATGATCAGGTTTCATTGTTGATGGATGCCAAAACAAACATGATCCTCTTGGCTCAGAATCATGAGTGTCAGTATCTGGAGTTATTTTGGTTGAAGAAACAAAATTACAAAGTCACTTTAATAAGCAGTCCCCTCACAAGGCTCCTATCTACAGTCATCATAACCATGTGTATGCCTGGACGTGGCTGGTCAATGAATGATCATTGGCATTTCATTAGAAAACAAGAGAGGATGGAAAGTTCAGTTCATGATATGAATGCTGACGGGAGAAATGTCATTAGAAAAGGCTGAAACTCAATCCCGTCGTTATCTACTGCTCTTTAGTGAGCGCACAGCAACGGCATGTAATATTCAATAGCTTAAACCAACACCCCAGTATTGCTTGAACATATGCAAAGCTGCTTGTGGGATGGAGGTCATCTGAAGACCGTTAGCATCAACTTCCCTTTGTTTTCACTAGTGATGCACAGTATAGATGGTGTTCTCTCGGTCACCTAACTTTAGTCTCTGATAGAGACCGTCAGTCCAGGAAATAGTTCTATTGATTTCAGCTATATGGTGGCGTCTTCCGTTGCACAGTGATACCACAGCATGGCAGGGTGGGCTCTACTGGTCAATGCACAGCAGTGTTAAAATGCTGCAACTGCACATTGGGGTCCTCTGATAACTGCTGCCAGAGCTGCTGGAAGCCATTACCGACCAGTGATCAAGGCCATTACTGAATAGTGCAACCCATCTGCTGGAGGCTGTCAGTGAATGATGAAGCTCACTCATTACAGATCTCAGTGATATCTAATGAAAGCTGTCACTGAATGGCAGATTCCTCTGATCACTGTTGTCAATTAATAGGAGTCCACCATTATTAATGAATGGTAGATTCCTCTGATCACCAGTGAATGGAGGATTCCTCTGTTGTCAATGAATGATGGATTCCTCTGATCACTGCTGTCAATGAATGGCGGATTCCTCTGTGATCAATTAATGGTGGAGTCCTCTGATCACTGCTGTCAATGAATGGCGGATTCCTCTGTGATCAATTAATGGTGGATTGCTCTGATCACTGCTGTCAATGAATGGCGGACTCCTCTGTGATCAATGAATGGTGGAGTCCTCTGATCACTGCTGTCAATGAATGGTGGAGTCCTCTGTGATCAATGAATGGTGGAGTCCTCTGATCACAGCTGTCAATGAATGGTTGATTCCTCTGATCCTTGCACGGACTCGTAGGCTGTCATTGCACGGTGGTCTCAGTGGGCTCGGTTACACTACAATGCACCGACTCCCCTGTTGTGCTGTCCGCCTCCCCGGCTAGGTGTAATCTCCTGACCGCCTCTTTGATGAGGTTTCCAGACAGAAGGAGCTCCTGCAGCAGCTGATGGGGGTCCTCGTCCTCCTCGTGTTTCCTCCGCATCCATCCCCGGCCGCACAGCTGCTTGCTGCTCCCCGGACAGTGCCTGGCCCCAGCCGGCTGGTGGCGGCATCGTCCAGCCGCTCTGGGAGTGCACACCGGGTACGGCGTAGTCCTTCCCCTCACACACGAGCACATGGCTGTAGGCCGTGGGACGGCGGCTGGTTTCAGAGCCCCTCCGTACGCCATGCTGCAGGAGTTCGGGGCTCTGTGGGCATTCAGCTGCAGAGCTTCCCCGATACGGGCCACCAGGGAGTCCACCTCCTTGGAGCCTACGGTCACCGACTGCTCCAGCAGCAGGAAGCTCTCCTTACGGCACGGCATGCTGACAGCAAGCACAGCCACCGTGTGATGCACCACCGCCCGGCTTCCACCGGCCCTGCTGCTGGGTTTGTAAACAATGGGTGACGTAGTGATTGATCCGACTGTACCACTTTAGTATCGCAGGGTGGGAGATATTCCAAATATACCGCTAATTCTTCTCCTCCTCTGCTGTAACACAATTTTCATTTCCAACAACAGGAACGCAATTTACCGTAGTCTGTATAACATTCGATGCTTTATATCACAGCTGATGAAACTATTCGAAGAAGCGGACCGTACCATTCCCAGTTTCCCCCCTTTGTCTTTCTCGGGCTTTGTCCCCGCCCCTTCTGTTTTTGAAGCGGCTCGTACGTTAGTTACGTCACCTTGTTTTGGTGTGTCTGTCAGTCAGGGTGATCGGGGGGGCGGTGTCAGGGCTCGATTCAGAGACACAAAGCGCAGGGGGGAGGCGGGGCTGCGTATATGACCTGCCTGTAACCTGGGGACAGCCGCCTGCACGTTGTTATCGAGCAACTGCATAAACAGCACTGCGGTCTGGCTGGCTCCATGTTTGCTTTGTTTATAAGTGAAATGTGGTAACAGCACCGATACAGGAGCCTTGCCCTTCACGCCTTGCTGATAACGGCCAGCAGCAAAGCTCGGTGTGGCTGTAGACATGAGGGAGAAAGAATTTACTCAACACAAAACCAGGGTGTGAGAAGGAAGTTGTTTGTTTTTACATTTTGAGTTGTTATGGCTGGTTACCTTCTTAGGTTGAGGACGTATATAGAATGTAGCCATGTGTTAGCTACCTGTGATTGGAGCATGCGGCCTTACTTAGGCTCTATTCACACAGAAGCAGCTGTCCGCGTGTATAACATAAAAAACTGCATTGTTCAGTCTTTTGCGGCGGCTGCTCTGTATGAAACAATGTGGCCGCAAAATAGTCCAAGCTCGGTTTTTGACAGATTCCGCATAGTCGCAGCTATATTAATAGCCGAAAACGTGCGGATGAAAGATTTAGGCCTGGTTCACACCTGACCGTTTTGTAGCGCGTCCTACGCTCGATGAACGCTCTACAAAACGGTCAAAAAAATAAATAGCACTGTAGTCAATGGCCTCGTTCCCACCTGTCCGTATTTCCGCCCGTCCCGAACGCACTACAAAACGGCCCACGCATGAAAAGGTCCCGGAGCGTTTTTTGCTGCGTATTGGTCCGTTTTGTAGGGCGTTTTCCATTAGTATACTGCCAAGTAGCCTTTGGAATCGCGCGACGGTCGCGCTGCTTTTTACCGCGAATCGCGGTAAAAAAAACCGCGTGACGGTCGCGCGACAGACGCGCATATTACAATACGCATAGGTGTGAACCAGGCCTTATCGTTTGCACGCAGCGTGGGAAACGCAAATGCTATATGTGAATGGGGCCTCATACAGGACACCACTAAAAGAGTGGAAACAACGAAATTAATAGTCATTAAAGTTTCACATTTTTATTCTCAATCAACCTATTTCTTATTATGACCATTAGAGGAGAGACAGCCATAGGGGAGAGAGGTGACACAGCCAGGAGAGAGAGAGGTGACACAGCCAGGGGAGAGAGGTGACACAGCCAGGAGAGAGAGAGGTGACACAGCCAGGGGAGGGAGAGGTGACACAGCCAGGAGAGGGAGAGGTGACACAGCCAGGAGAGAGAGAGGTGACACAGCCAGGGGAGAGAGGTGACACAGCCAGGGGAGAGAGGTGACACAGCCAGGGGAGAGAGAGGTGACACAGGTGTCCCATGCCTCCTCCACACACTCAAGTTGGAACACCAGGACCCTGTGGTTGCCCCTGTCTGTCTGGCATTGTGACAACTTGTGTCCACATCTTGTGTTCAGGCCAGCCGAAACCTGGACTGTCCTGGTGAATCCCGAACAGGTGGCAAACCCCAGCTACTCCCCTAGCTGCTGCAAAAGGTAAGAGCCCCCTCTCTGTGCTTGGCCCCCCTGCTGACCTGATGGGGCCCAGGCATGGTACAGGAGGGATAGCCCTACGTCCTTATTGGTGGCCCTGACTGCAGGCCAAAAGTAATCGATCTGTGGGCCACAGATGGCCCGTGACCGGTACTTTGAGACCCCTGCTTTAAAGGAGCAATCCAGAACCACACTGCACACATGGAACATTAGCGTATGATATGTTACATAGGTTCAGGGATTGCAATGTGCGCTTTCGTCCACACACGCATGCAGGTACACAATGCACACACATGCTTTATCCATGCTCTTGATTATTTACTTTAGTAAATCCGCCCCATGTTGGCAATACACATATAGACTATTGTCTGACTTGGGCAGTCATTCATCTCTTGATGTGTGTGGATGCTTTAACTGCAGGAGCGGCTTATCTACAGAAATCTGAGAGCAGGATGTATGGCATGGGGGAAGTATGCTTAGTTTAAATACCAGTTGCTCAATGTTTCTCAGAGCATGTTGGCAGCTCCATGCAATAATCTGACTTTCTGATGCAACTGCCTGATAGTGACATGAAAAAGCAAAGCATATAGGGCCCCTTGCACAGCGGTGTCATCACTTCAGTTGAAAATAATAAATGCAAAGATGAATATTGAATCAGTTTGCACACCCGCCTTCCGTTCCACTCTGTTCTGTTTACATACACTTATCCCTCTGTTTCTTTTTTACTTTTAATTTTTTTTGGTTTGTTGAAGAAAAAAATCATCTGCTGCTACTTATCAATGAGGGTTTTTCAGTTTGGGGGTCACAGCCTGGAACACCTCCCGCCACTATCGCTGTATCCCACAGGCCTGCTCTGACCACATTAATAAGTGTATCATGAGAGGTATCCCTGACCATTATTTCTGCAATAAGGAATGCAGAGAACATCCTGTGCATACTCCTCCCTGGGACCCAAGTGAAGGCAAGCAAAAGTAACAAAAAAGAAAAAGGGTTCTGTCAATATTTTTTCCCAGTTTTTTTGTGGTAAAATTAGGTACCTCGGCTTATATTCGGGTCGGCTTATACTCGAGTGTATACGGTAATACAAATGCAATGTATGTTAAAGGCTAAGTTAACACTTTATACCAAGTTTCATGTTAAACCCATTAAAATGGAAACATTGCCACCCCATAACGCCACCCAACCACCACTTACTTGAATCGCGGAGTTCCCCTCCCCGCAGACTGCTGCTGTTATTTGAAAATGGCGTGGCTCCGCCCACACAGCTGCACCCTCCTGTCCCTATTACTTAATGCTCTCTATCTTGAAACGGACAGGGACTGAAAGGAGAATCTGCAGGAACCAGAACATTGTACCCACCATCCACTGATCATTGCTGCAATGCTTTACTGGCTCCAATGCAAAGAAAGTAAGAAATGCTCATTTTTCCTTTTATGAATATTTGTGCATTTATTTTTTTTTATTTTTCATTTTAAAGGTGGAATCTACCTTCAACTGAACAGATGTAAACTGGCGACGTCTGTTTATGGGCTCATTCACACAAATGGGAGGGGCAGGTGCTGCGTGTAATTGTATGCAGCCGCCTATACCTTCCTATGGGAGGACACAGCTGCACTCACCTACACACCGACCTGAACCTACATCCGTGAATGTCCAGGTGCCTGCTCTTTGACACACTATCTGCATCCAAGTGCGGGCACCTGGACCTGCATGGACCCATAGGGAAGTATACACTATGAGGGCCCATTCACACCAGATGCAGTGCATTCCGGCCTGATTCTGGCCAGATCACACTGCCTCGCATTGCAGCCAGCTCACTTTTTAGTGGGGCAGGAGGGAGCGTGGCGGGCCATTGAAGTGAATGGCACCATAGGCACACCCTCCAACCGCAATGCGATCGCCCGCACAGGATCGCAAGCACTTTTTTGATCGGAACGCAGGCACAATGTACCTTGCGATCGCATTGCGGCCGGAAGGCGTGGCTACGGTGCCATTCACTTTAATGGCCTGCCACTCCCCCTCCTGCCCCAATAAAAAGTCAGCCGGCTGCAATGCAAGGCAGTGCGTTCCGGCCAGAATCGGGCTCGAACGCACTGCAACTGGTGTGAACGGGCCCTTACACAACACCTCTCCCTCCTGGGAGCAGGTGTCTGCACAGGCATGTGCGCCATATGGATGTGCATGCCCATGTAAATGAGCCCAACATCAGTTTACAACCATTCAGTTCCATTTAGGCCCATAAAAATGAAAGAGGATACAAACCTTTTCCATTTTCTTTCCCAGACCTAGACGGACATTTTCTTTCCCAGACCTAGATGTAAGTGGACACACGTCCATTCACATTTGCTCAATCAGCCCAGCGATCCAGGCTGAACACTACACAGCTATAGCAGCACTGTACAATGCTTAGTACTCATGTGTGCTATGCAGAGAAAAACATTTTTGTAATTGCTTCCTGAGGGCAGAACACTTGCAGAGTAATTTTAGAAGTTTAGATCACTTTTCACTGAAACTCCTGTGCTGCGCATGTTACAGGGAAATTGCAGAAAATCTGCCAGCAGATCATTGCAGTTTCTGAAAAGGATGTCTGTACTGTGCCAACCAGTACAATGCTCCAGACTTCCCAGAAATGAGGCCTTCCTAGGAAACATTCTAAAGTAGTCATTAGTCCAGTACCAATGTATGCCAAGAATGCAGGACTGAAGGACATACTAACAACCTGCCAACACACATGCTGATATGGTCATACTGTAGCCAGGACTGTCCACATCATCAATATATATACTGTATATTCAGATGCATCATATGTAAGTACCTGAATGTGACTTGGTATTCACGTCTTCTAATCTCCTGTCAATCAGACTGGGAGAGGGGCAGCACTAGGGGCCCATCTAGAGTTGCCACCTTTTCTTCAAGTGAAACCCGAACACTTTAGCGACGTGCTGACATTTCTTTGGGAGAATTGAGTCCTGGCTTATTTATATGTAAATAGCACCACCCATTCATATGTAAATAGCACCACCCATTCATATGTAAATATCACAGTTGAGACTATTTTTAGTGGGGAGCCAGTAGCCCCTATCTTAATTTTGGTTGCCCCTGTCTGCCTGACATTTTGTGTCCGAGTTTATGCTGCCATGAAACCCGGACACAGCATTCAAAACCCGGACTGTCCGGGTGAATCCTGGACAGGTGGCAACCCTAGGCCCATCAGGTCTG